GGGAGCAGCTCATAGTGGATGATTCCCTGCCAATCCCACCAAACACACAGCAAAGCCTTCCTGACCATCAATCCTGGCTTGGCCACCGTTTGCGCCGGCTCACCGCGTTTCGACCACGACCGTTTTCGCTTGACGTTGTCGTAAGTGACCCACTTTTCATCACCAGTCACCATCCGCTGCAGAAATGGGTCGATTTTGTTGCGATTCAGCAGCGATTCGCAGATGGAAATTCGATCCATGAGGTTGTTTTGCGTGTGGCACTCATACATCGAGCTTCTTTTTGTATCCAGTCTTATTCAAGTGGTTCCAAACGGTTTTTTGTACAATGTTTAGCTCCTGGGCAATCAAAACAGTGCTTACATGACGGTCGGACTCGACGATTTCCATTATTTTATCGGCATTATTTTTTCGACAATTGGCCTTCCAGAGCGTGGTGCATCTTTGACATCAAAATTACCGGAACTGAATCGACGAAACCAAAATTGCGCGTGATTAGCTGTTACAGTATCAGGACCATAAACACTATTCACATTTTCAGCCGCCTGGCTTGCGTTTTCGCCTTTATCGAAGAAAAACTGTAAAATATGGTGTATTTTCTCTTTGCTGGTATCCATCTTTGACGCGCGCTCAAACAATACTGAGTCAAACAATCACAAAACTGTCTGAGAAGTTTTTTTAGTACGAAATCTTATCTTTCTAACACCATCTAGCGTAAACCGATCGCACTTATACAACGCGAGATACACATTACTAAAGCCATCTATTGGAAAAATAATGGATTTCTTTTGACTACACCTTATATATATATATATTTATTTATTTATTTATTTGCATAAGATTTTCTCAAATAAACTTGGCATTACAGGGTCCGCCACCAAAATCCGGATAAATTTAAATTTGAATGTCCCGCCTCATTTCATTTCGTCAGTAGGTCGTTGTTGACATTCAGGCAAGTCAGATGTTTGTAGTAAGCGTGCATAACCTCAAAATGTCCAAGCAAATAAGATCAAGTGCGGAGTATAACCGAAGAGCGGCGATAATCGACGGCCTTCGCGCTCGGCGTTTGCAGACCGAAATTATTTGGTTCTTCTGATACCTGAGATCGACCATATATGATGTTGCGGCTAAATATTTGGCTTCGGAGACATCCAGAAAAGATTCTGCCAACCCGATGAGGAAGAGCTATTCGAAAGGAAAGTCGCTAAGGACTCCAGCAATTATCGAAAGGGCTCAAGAGCTCATCTCAGAGGACCCAGGGCTGTCTCTGACAAAATTGGCAAAAACATTGAGTATGAGTGACACTACAATACATTGAATTGCTGAAGAGGACCTACGCTTCAAGTCTTATGTAACAAAAGTTCGACAAATGCTCTTCGAATCTGCCAAGATAAACAGAGTTGCTCGTTGTAATTTGCTTCCGTGTTTTGATCCAAGGAATTCTGGCCTCGGAACAGTCCAAATTTGAATCCATTGGGCTACTACGTATAGAATGCCATTGAACAAATGATCAACAAGATGAGATATTCTAACGTAACATCTCTCCAGGCCGCTATCGAGACGGCATTCGCCAATATGGACAAGAACGCGTTGCAGAGAGCGTGCCAGCGCTTCAGGACGAGGATCAAAGCAGTCATCGAAGCAAAAGATAGTTATATAAAGAATTTTACTCTAAAAAGATACCACTAGTGATATACAAAAAGTTTTTTGTAATTTTTACATTTTGACGAATAGAATTTTGTTTAAACAAATTGTTGATTTTGTCCGAATTTTGGTGGCGAATCCTATATATAAAATGGCTACGATTGCGAGTCACTGCTTGTAAACTTGCGTCGGTAATCGGTTGTAATAGAAATAATGATACACGCAGAATAAATACTACTTTTTTATTATATATTTATTTTACAGATAAAAGAGTATAATATATATGTATACATATATATATATATATATATATATATATATATATATATATGTATATATACATATATATAATATATATAATATTAGGTGTATTAGGTACAACTTTGCTTCCGCCGTTTTTTTTTCCGAAATTCGAGGCTTTATTGTAAAAAACTGGTTATACATTTATGATTCATCGCTGGCCACTACTTTCTCCCATTTTTCGGGCAGCATACGAATCCCGCGTCGAAAAAACTGTTCATCTTTTGAGACGATCCACGAATCGATCCAATTTTTTACTTCTTCATAAGACCGGAAGTGCTGGTCAGCCAGGCCGTGTGCCATTGATCGAAACAAGTGATAGTCAGAGGGAGCAACTTCTGGAGAAAACAGCGGGTGGGGTAGGACTTCCCATTTCAACATTTCCAAGTATGTCTTGACCACTTTCGCAACATGGGGTCGAGCATTGTCATGCTGCAAAATCACTTTATCGTGTCTCTCGTTGTATTGCGGCCGTTTGTCTTTCAATGGTCGGCTTAAACGCATCAGTTGCGTTCGATACCGATCGTCTGTGATTGTTTCAGTCGGTTTTAACAGCTCATAATACACTACGCCGAGCTGGTCCCACCAAATACAGAGCATGACCTTGGAGCCGTGAATATTCGGTTTGGCCGTCGACGTGGAAGCATGGC